TCACCACCCTCCCTCCCCCCACCGCTCACCGCCTTCACTCCTCTGCCATTGTCCCCACCTGGCCGCCCTTGATTCGGTCTCTGCCATTGTCCCCACCTGGCTGCCCTTGGTTCGGGTTTTCAAGTCTTTTGGAAGTATTTAGAGGCTTCCAATGTGTGCCCAACCCCCCCCGCCCTCACCGCCCTCATACTGACCTCTCAACTTTCGGGGTCGGAGGCACTGCGGCAGCCCGTAAATAAAGTCCAGACTACGAGCTCCTTGCCTCTGCGACGCCCATGAGCTCCGGCTCTGAAACGTGGATTACCCCCGGCTCGTCTCTGAGCCTGACAATCTCCTTGTGCAGGACTTCCAGGGTTCCTGAGACATGCTACGCAGCTATGCAGCTTGCGTCATCATACATTTACTCTTGTAACTGTTCTGCTGAATCTGCGCAAGGGCCCCGACGCTCGGGGTTGCTGTCCTCCTGACAGCATGAATCAGTTGATACCTAGCTGCCGCTTCCAACTTAGAAGATGCTTGCAAAAAGCAGGTACTTCCCTGCCTCCGGTATGGAGAATGTGCTGGGCAGCTCAGCTCGGATCACTTGTGGAAAATCAGCTGGAGCATAGATCAATGCACCACCAAAGGCAAGATCCAACTTGACCTCAAGGGAATTCGATGTGCACGAGCTGATTTGCGTTGTCTGGGTGGCATCGTGTCAAAGCTCCCTCGCAGCCGAGGCTGATGCCTGATAAGGTGCGGTCTTCCCTGGTGGCCAATGATCCTGTGCAAACAGCCATGCTGGGGGGTTGGGCGGCAGGACACTTCTTCCCTGCACCTGCCATCCAGAAGGTGCATTTTGGCTCTAGATCTTCAGGCATTAGCACGCTTGCGTGGATGGGTGGCACTTCGACTTTTCATGGCTTCAAGCCAGGGGTCATGATCGCCCGTAGGTGGCCTCTTCATTCGCTTCGCATCCCAAACCCAATACTCCAGCCAAAATGCTGAACCAGCGACAAAGCCCTTCCAGCCTCGCGGTATCGCGTAGCCACGATCTCGCCACTCGCCCAACCTTCGCGCCCCATGTTGCAGGAGACGCGAGCACCCACGGCAAAGCGCAAGCTGCCACCATCGCTTGCCACGGCCGGCTCCATCTGCTACAGGAAGCGGGGGCTCCAGAAGATAGGGGAACCTACGATAGAATGATACATACTAGGATCCTTCTTAGAAGGTCCCCCGAATGAGGCACCCTTGTTTTCTTGAACTCCTAATGGCATACCCTTTCCAACCGGGTGGGCTGGCAGCATAAGCTAATGTTGTCTTACTCTCGTGTCGCATCCTTGACAAGCCACAACCCTGAAGCCACAACCCTGAAATGGAGTTTTCGGGTCTGTTTACAATATGCTTCCATCCAATAAGGAGCCTTAGGAACCTTAAGGACATGCATTGGTAACTTTACAGGTCAGGGTCGAATATTCGAACTGATGTTCTCAACCGATCTCGATCGAGGTCTTGGCTCTACAGATACTCAATCAGGCATGCAAACAATCCGAGCACGACAGACCCGAGATTGTCTAGGTCTGTGGAAAAGGCTTCGCAGCGAGCAGATCTTTCATCTTTGCCAACTCGTGAGAAAAATGTCCTAGCGCCTCAAGGCCACACACCCTCATGCTACTCTTGCTCCATCTGCACCTCAAACTCAGTCGAGCTCGGAGGTGATCGTTGCGCTGATGACACTGGAGACGACGCTGAAGGCTGCTAGTGCGCAAAGAACACCGACTCCCAGCACCTCGGCATGAAGAGCCGGCCCAAAGTAACACCTGATGCCTGCAAGGCCAACAAGTTTATGGTGAGGCCCCCACAACTGAAGGCACGCCCTCTCCGTCTGCTGCTGATGCCGCCGCCGGGGTCAAGAGAATCGCCGGCACTGTGGCGCTTGCCGCCTCGATGGCAGTGCCACGAAGCTGGCTTGGTGTCTCAGGAGCCGGAGCAGGAGCACCGACGAAGGCAAGGCTGCGCAAGGCGGTGCAAAACGCCAGGACGACACAGACGGTTGCAAGCTTGGTTCGGGCCATCACGTCAATCTCACCAGTGACGAGCAACAATGCCGAGGCTCTTTCTTCCCTGCTGGCTCAGAGCCACAAAACAGCAAAGGTACAGAATGCTGCAGAATTCAGAGCAGGTGCTCGATGCGCGTTGCCAAGCCACTGAAGCCAACTCCTGTTTTGCTTCTGGTAAATGCACAACCCTTCTGCACAACGTATGCACGGCAGTTTTTAGCTCGTGCTGATGCGACTGCAGTCGCAGCCGCAGTGAAATAGCCACATAAAGGCCAGCAACCGTCGGCTCAGATGCCCCAAGTTGCCCTGCCCTGGGCCGCTGGCCGTCTTAGGGCCGGGGGACTGCCCAAAGACAGACGGACATTCTGGAAAACCGGCCCCACTTTTCACACCTTCGGGAAGGCACAGATAGACAAGAGCTTTGCCACAGACTTCACAGCTTGGAAGCTCCGACAGTCCTTGTTGAGAAGCTCGACGAATCTCCCCTTGTCCCAGACGTCCGGCATTTCCTTTGCCTTCCCGAGACTTCTCTCAGTTCACCAGGCCGGAGCTGTCGAAAGAGTCACCGCAGACCGGCCTTCAGCATCCCAATCCGAGCGAGGCTTGCTTTGTCCAGGCTCGTGGGATCCTTCCGGCAGAATCCGCAGCCGTCCCGCAGCCGAGAGTCTAATGGGCAAAGGCAGGTACGTTCTGAGTGCTGCACTGCAGCCCCCAGGGCTTTGTACGCCAGTTCGACTTCCTCGCCGTGCAAGGGCTCGGTTCAGTGGCGTGTAATGTACAACGCGACGACAATGAAGATAACAAACTCGCCAAGGCCAACTGCCGTTGAACCTCCTTGTTGGCGGCATTCTTGAGGATGTTTATCGGAGCATCCCATGCCTGAAGGATCCACAGATGCGGCCCAGAGCTCGCACTCCCAATAGTTCGCAGCAATCCCACCTCTGCACCCTCTTTGCTGCCACTGATGCCCAAGATCGCTTGACAACCGTCTGAATTTTCCACCTTGCATTGCAAACATCTGCGAGCTTTGAGCGTTCTTGCGCAGTTCATCTTGCGTGGATCTCCCGCACCTCACTCTTGGCACCCTTCTCCAGAAGCAGCTTGGAAATGAAATAGAAGTCATACCTCCCAGATCTGCGCAAGGCACGAGATCGCCCCCGAACCGCTCACAATTGAGGGACGTGCTCAACGCTCATGTGGAGGGGCGTCTGCCCCTTGAAATTTTGCGCCGTAACCTGGACGTGGAACATTTCTAGTTGCCGGTTGCGAAACATCACTGAAGGCAGGGACTGGGAGCTGGGCATCTGCTTTCCAAGCAATCAAGAGCTCTGTCAACTCTCGGTGGCCTGGGTCAAGAGCGGAAGCACCATGAAACTGTGGACGCCCAGCCCTAAACCCTAAAGCGGAGGCTTCTGAAATCCGGGCTTCCGACCGTTCTGCACTGCGATGTGTAAAGCTTGGTTGCCGGTCTTTGGGTCCGGTGCTCCTGAAACAAATCCGCAAAAAAGAAACGAGGATCGTGGTAGTACTGCTCATAGGGAGAGCGATAGTAGTAAAAGTAATACTCGTGAGAGTTGTCGTCGTCGTCGTCGTTTTCGTCGTCCTCATCGTCGTCGTCGTCGTAGCAGTAGCAGTAGCAGTAGCAGTAGCAGTCGCAGTAGGAGTAGTAGGAGTAGTAGGAGTAGTAGGAGTAGTAGGAGTAGTAGGAGTAGTAGGAGTAGTAGGAGCAGTAGGAGCAGTAGGAGCAATAGGAGTAGGAGTAGTAGTAGTCGTCGTCGTCGTAGTCGTAGTCGTAGTAGTCGCAGTAGTAGTAGTAGTAGTAGTAGTAGTAGAAGAAGAAGAAGTAGAAGTAGAAGTAGAAGTAGAAGTAGAAGTAGAAGTAGAAGTAGAAGTAGAAGTAGAAGTAGAAGTAGAAGTAGAAGTAGAAGTAGAAGTAGAAGTAGAAGTCCTCGTCGTCGTCGTA